TACCAGGGAACACCTCAACAGAATGACTATTCTGTATAATAATACACTTGCATCCATAGAGTTTTATCTTCAGTGACTGGCTTTGCATAAGTCATAGGAAATGGCTTTCTGTCCCAGATCAGAACTGAAAGAAGAAAGCAGGTGTTGCAGTTCTTTATGAAGGTGGTGCAAAAAGAAGCTTTGGCAAGGGCTGAGGCCACTGTAACTGAACTCACTGCGGCCTTGAGTTACTAGTGTTCTTATAAAGGAAACTCAGGAAAACAAACGTAAAATGTAAAACAATAAGTATCCAATGAGATGTACTTGGGGTTGTGCTTCCCCATAATGAGCTGTGTTCTGCGGGCTCAGCGGCTCCCCACTGCGCCCTCACAGCCTTAATAGGGCATGCAGCCAGCTCCTCCCCACTCCAGAGTTGTGTGTGGCTTCCCAGCTCCAGTCCCCGGCATCCCCATGCCACCCAACGCGCTCTTTCTCCTCCTGTCCTCAGCTATTTCCTCAGTCGCTTTTTCTCCAGCCCGCTCCTCTCTTGGGCCCTGCCCCTCTTCTCTCCCAATCCACAGGCTCAGGCTGCTCCTAAACCAGTGTGCCAGAGCCTGTCAGTAGACTGTCTTTTCCCCTTTCACACCCTGCCTGAGGCAGGATCATCCCTATTCAAACCATCCCATACAACCATAATCTAAACTCTATATAAGATTATCCTTAACCCTGACACAACACGGATCTAACACCCTAGCCTGCTGCAGGTAAAGCAGGGGAACCACAGTAGCCAATATTCTGCTTCTATAAAACATTGCCAATATAAGCTCAAGAGGTCCCAGGTAAAGGGCTATGCCCCCCGCTATAGAGGAAGGCAAAAACCTCCACAGTTCATACCAATCTGACCATGGGGCAAAATTCCTTCCTGACCCCAAATATGGCAATTGGTCAGACCCTGAGTGGAGGGGCAAGACCCTCTAGCCAGGAACCTCCAGCTTTGTTCTTTGCAGGAGAATCAACATGCCTCAGTTGAAGTCCCCAGCCTCAGCTGTAGCCAACACCCAGTGATGCCACAGAGAGCAGGGCCAACAGCCCTGGGCAGAATGTCAGGGCTGGACAAGGGATGCAGCAGGTTGCAGCCCTTTGCAACACTCACCTGTGGCCAAGGAACAGCTCCAGCAAGGGGATAGGATGGGCAGAGGCTGCCTGGGTCTTGTCCAGGGGGGTACACAGGGCCTGGTGAGCTCCTGCACACAGCAGCAGGCTCCCTCAGGCTCCTGGTGTGTGTACCCCAAGGCACAAAGTGGCTGGAGGCTTTTACAGCCTGCAGCTAGGAGTTAGTAGAGAGCAGCCCAGCCCTGGGGGAGGAGAGGCGGCCAGCCAGAAGCCCTGGGGCTGGGCTCTGGCCAGGCCACTAGTGGCTGGGCAGACCCAGCACTGAAGGTTGTGCATTAATGCACATTAACACGTCTACACATGCATTAATGCACTTTAACTAATTGTGCCTAAATTTGGTACTTACTTTATGCAGGTATCAAAATTTAGGTGTGATTAGCTTAAAATAGCCAATTTTAAGGCACATTAAGGGCACACATGTGTAGACGTGCACCGTTAATGCACCTTAAGTTGGACTAAGATGTGTTAAATGCCCACTTGTAGACATGCTCAGTTTGGAGTATGCTTATGAATATATATAAGTGAGGTGTGTTGGAGTATGCTGCCAAAGCAATATAGTTAAGTCCAAAGTGAATTGATCTACATTGTCCCCAAGTGTTTGCAGAAAGAAACATATTGGGTTTTACTTTCCCTTCCTGGGTTGTATTTCCTAAGGTTGCTGTTGAATTAACTCAGTACATACATGCAGCAGAGTCAGAGTTGTTGTAGCTGTGTATGCATATATAGTATACACTATACAACATATACGTGCCATAACTACAAAACAACCCTGTCTAGCTATGATATTCATAAATTGTACATGCTGTTCCAAATCCATTCTGGTATAATTTTAAAATTTAGTTAATCTGGTTCAAGTCTATGTATAGATCGTTTTAAACCTAGTTCATTAGAATTTACCTTGTTTGTGTTAATATACTAAAACAAACTAATCTGAAATAAGTTCTAATCTAGTATAAGTGTGTTCACACAACGGTTTACACTGGTTATGAAATGAGTTAAACTGAAGTGGTAGAAATCTGTATATAGATAAGGTACCTATATTGCAGAAAAAGAGCCTATGCCCACAGATTTAATCAGGAACAGTTATTCTCATTTAAATTTGCACCCTATCTGAATTAATTTACTTGTGGGGAAAAGCTCTCAGAAATAGGTTTAAGTTAAACAAAAATAAAACACTCTGAAATCAAGATAAGGTTGTTTTCAAAAGGATTTATTTTGGTTAACTAAACTGTTTTATTTGAAACTGCTGGATATAGACAAAGATTCTGTCTATTCAAGGGCAAAGTGATAAAAGGGATATTCTGATCCCAGTTCATGAATGTTCTAAACACCTTCTGTTTCTAGACATCCATTTGCAGTTTCTCTGTGCAGATCACAGACATCCACAAGATAAGAAAAGGAAATTCTAGACATGCAACAGTAGTAACGTATATTTAATCAGCTATCAGAAGGAGAAGCAGAAGCAGCTTTCTCATTAAATGATAAAAACTCATTAGAATATTAATACATACTGCTGACTGTTTAATGCTAAAACCATTCTCAGATGGCTGAAAGTTATAAAATATTGATATAATTTTAAGATCCGGGATATATAATGGAATTAAAGAAAATGGTGGACTTTTTCTCAGACCTTTATCCAAGGGAATCTGGTTAGAGTGTGGAATGTATTTTATTCTCTTTTGAATGTAAATTTTAATAAATACATTCACTTACTGGGTAACCTTGTTGTGAAAGCTCCAGCACAGTTATTAAATATTAGCATTAGATATTTTAGCATTTAATCCACTATAGTTTCTCAGTGTGAATCCATTCTTGCAGGTTATCTCAGCTATAAGAACTTCTATTATCCTAGAACAATTAGTTTGAATTGGGGCCTTCTGTTGAAGCTTCTCTTTACTGGAGTGGTGTTTGCTCACACAAGTGGTCTCAGTGAAGTCAGTGAAGGGACTGGTTCACTGGAGCGCTGGTTGCAGGTGCTCATTTTCCTAAAAGCATGTTCATTTTGCTTCTGAACACAAATCACTGAGTCTGGATAATTCCAGACTTCCATCATGGAGGGGGCAGCCTTTCTATATAATCTTAACAACATAGAACCAGAAGGGATCTCATGAGGTCATCTAGCTTAACCCATTGCTCCAGGCAGCACCATCCCTATCTACACTGTATCAGGAAAAACGTTTAGAACATTTTTCTACCTCTAATTCTATTATGGGTGTAATGAGACAACTGGACTCATCAAAAGCATAGATGGACATATGTTTAAGACATAGTCTGGGCAATGATTGTATGGTCTGGAATACATACTGGGCAAGCATAATTGTTGGGCTTTGGATATAGTGGTAAGGGTTAATGGGTATCTGAGCACTAATAGTCCTCATGGCCGCACTAGGAGGTTGTTGAAGTGACTGAGTTATTGAATCCACCTACAGAGGAACTAAGCTTCTTCGAGAAAAAAAAAGTCTGGGGAATTTTAGTGGGAGAGAATTGAACTAGGGAGGAGTTCAGCTGGGAAGAAAATTATTCTAGGCTTGGCTGTGGCTCTTTTCCACAGTTTTTCAAGAACAAAGAGCTTAAAGATGCATCTCTGAGAGAGAGTCACATGGTAGGGTGAGTGGAAACTGAGTAAGACACTCTGGCTGCCAGAGCATCTCTATGGTTGCCCCTTGCCCTGGTGCTGAAACACACAGCTGGCCAGGCCCTGTGTTTCAACACCAGGGCTCCAGTGCCAGTGAGTAAGCGCTTCGGGGGGGGCTGG